TAGATATGACGGGCGGTGCTGGCCTACTGTGATATAATACAGAGTACTGGCCACAGGTTCCTGTAGATATGACGGGCGGTGCTGGCCTACTGTGATATAATGCAGAGTACTGGCCACAGGTTCCTTTAGATATGACGGGCGGTGCTGGCCTACTGTGATATAATACAGAGAACTGGCCACAGGTTCCTGTTTAGTTTATCTTGTCAGTGGTTATCTAGAAGAGCTCAGCAGTGTTGGTAGATCCATTGCGGTGTCGAGTATTCTAAATCGGAGATGCACTTATTTATTAAAAAACAAACTGTTGTTATGTGTTCAGTGTGGGAGATAAGAGGATTCGATAACCCGACCAGGTCTAGAGACTCTAAACATCGTTCATGATGATGTAGAAGTGTTTACAAGTCGCTTCAAATTCTGATAAAATCAGTTTACTTATCGATGTGTATTTAACGTTTCAACATCACCCTGACCTGACGTATCAACTGAAAATGTCATGTCTTGATTGATTGTTAACGTTTCATTTTGTTATGACGTCATAAACATAACACTGGACACCGCTGACTCAACCTTGGACATTCCTGTCACTACGCTTTGTACATATTTGTATGACGTGATAAAAAGTATTTTGAGGGAGAAACGAATTTTCATCGCTCCTTCTATCGAATCATCATGGTGTTATAACAGTGACGTCAAAACGAGGACAATGATAAAATGTTATGTGGAATATTAAATTGTCGTCATGTCAAACAGAAGTTTCAGACTTTTCGTTTATTTATTCATTTATTAATTTATTACTTTTTCGTAATAAAAAAATACTCTTTCAAGCATGTACCTGTAAAAGAAAGATCGGTAAGCTCCGCCCTTCTGAGTTATGAAATGAGAATAAATATCTCGGTAAAGACTCCATTCCATAAACCCTCACTGGAATTTCTCAAACTTACCCACATTATTATATTCCTTTATTATATTTCATCACATTGTCGTATAAACACCGGAAGGGTTTTAATTGGTCACGTTTTGACGTCATGATTCATGGAGATTTGTTACCGGTCGGAAATTGGAATTATGCCTGAAATATTACATCCTTGATGTTTTTAATAAAGATATGGACGACTTCAAGTATCATACCATTATGTTGATAAATCAATGTCCCAATACAGTGTTTACCATATGGGGGGAAATAACCTCGGAGCTTATACAACAATCAACTTTATTAATTTTACAACAAATATGAAACAAGTTATATCTACTTGTACCATTGTATTAATTAAACACGTATGTTGGTCCGGGGGTGTTAATGAGGGAGGAAACCGGAGGACACCACGTGGTCGGGCAGGTGATGACAAGGAGCGTATACAGGGTGCTTTCATTGTACAATGATTCCGAATATCTAAGTACAGTTTGAATTAAAACGGTATATTTTTCAATGAGAACGTGTGGCAAAGGTAATTCCGTTTTTGTAAAATAAGTTTTTTATCAGTCTATGATAACGAATAAACCCCTCTTTTTTTTTTAAAGAAAAGCTAAACGTTTCTATTACATTTTTTATCATTCATATCACAGTTCTGGTCGAATCACATTACGTTAATAGTCATGACTGGTTATCCTGTTTATCCACTTGTCGTTAGTCAATTTTCAAATTGTGAAAAAGACCCTCAGCAACATGACATTGGTAACTTTGTGTCTCTCAGAGTTAAATCGACGAAACCTGATTAATACATTACACTCATTAGGGAACACCTCTTTTTCTTTTTATATATATATATATATATATCTAGAAAAAATAAAATGAACGACCGACTAAAAAACTAGCTGCTTTCACCCTTCACAGGGCTCTTCAGGTTTATTCAAAAGAACAACGTCGTGACGTCACAATTACATGTCATCACACTACAATAGTAACGTGACGTCACGAAGTACACAAGATTGGTGGACAATTTGGCGTAAAATTTTATTGTGGCCTGTTGAGACTCGGTTTTAATATTTTTATTAGTTGGTCTTCTTTCGTTTCTCTTAAAATAGTGTCTGATGAAAATAGTTGATACAAAGGTAATACATTAAATTTATCTCCAGCACATTCAGGAATATGTTTGTTAACATGAAGATTTCGTAAAGAATCAGTTCTAGTTTGTTGTCTATGTACAGTCATACGTGTTCTGAGTTCCTTACCGGTTTGACCGATGTAAAAATCACCACATTTAATAACAATGACCGTGTTATTGACTATATATATATATTTACATTTGCATGGCATTGTCACTATATAGCCTCTTTGAAAGCTGTGTCGTTGATGGGACTTTAATTACCATGCATCCCGAGACACAATTCTTAGTGTATTATATATATAATACAACACTGACCGGAACTACAATATTCAATATAAATAAACATGACGGCTGCTGAAATATCGCTGGGCATTGTGAGATTTGACAATGTCATTGTAAATGTATGTGCAAAAGAAAATAAGAAAAAAAAACCCACACTTTTATTACAACGAAAACAAGACCAAGGTCTGCAATATCGTACAAAATGCACATCTGTTGAAATCACCAATGCCGGCAATGGAAACAATTTTAACGCTCATGCAATTTATCAAAAATATCGTTACACTGCACTGATCAACAGGGGTTCGTTACAAATGTCTGAAATACACATTCTATAGACCTACTGACATATATGTTACAGACCTACTGATATTAGCCACAGCACACATAAACATTTCAGACATTTGTAACGAACCTGTGTTCCGTCGCAAGATCACTCACTTCAAACGCTATCAGTTTCACGCGTCTCGCTTCCACGGTTCCTCAGTTTCTGACGACATGTCAAATAACGAGGGTGTTATAGAATCTACCGACTGTTGTCGGGTTCCCATACATACATACATACATACATACATGCATACATACATACATACATACATACATACATACATACATACATACATACATACATACATACATAAATTCACGCCTGGATTCTTCACAAAATGAGCAAAGAGAGCTCAGATTTCTATTGATAAACTTAAATCACCCTAAAGACATATCATACGTAATTGTATTTATACTGAATTGTGGAATAACATTGAAGTGTTTGTTAAAATTTCAAAGTACTACTTTGTTTGCCAATCACCACGCGACAAACACGCTGTTCAAACTATTTAACGAAATTTTATGGACTGTCGATAAGGCGGGCATTTTGAATTTTAAATATATATTATAAGTTAAAAGAACATAAGCGGCAGAGAAAACGGAAAATAAGTATTGAACTGGTTTTGTACGGTATTTATGATCTATTTGAATGACACAGCTTTGCAAGCAAACAAATCATAATGCGTGTTGTTTGCTTGCAAAGCTGTGTCATTCAAATAGATCATAAACACCATACAAAAACAGTTTAATGCTTAAATATATTAAGAATGGAGTGGGGGCATGCTATTTAAGCATAGCTGCAAATCAGAAACCCCGGAGACATTAATTGCATCATCGGAACAAGAGCACGGAATAAGTGTCCAAAGCAGCCTTCCCAGGACGACGCTAGCATTTCTCTAGCGGAAGTCAGGATCGCGTGAACGTTTTAAATCTTTGTAGCCCACTCCGTTGTCAGATTTAATTGACTATTGTGTTGTTTGAAAAGGTTAGAAATCAACACCCTAGACACATTATGTCTGCTGCACGTGGAAATAAAACGCTGAATTTTAGCGTGTGCCTGTGGTCTTAATTCTATAAAAACAACGAAACATTCCAGAATGACAATGACAGAAAATTTAGACTGTGCGATACTTTCTCCTGTATCATGGAGGGGCTATGTGTTTCTATAGCCGTAGTTAGTAGATGATGTATCGCATTGAGTGTAATACAGAATAGCTGTTCACACTCGTATAGTTTACAATTGTAATAACATATTGTGAAATTCAAAGGATTAAAACGGTATGAACTTAGATAGTTGTGATCATTTTGGTGAAATTCAATGGATTTTTTTTATCATACTGGCATGATTTTGGAAGTTTAAATAAAATAGTGTGAAATAAATATGTAGAATAATATTGTCAATGGATGATTAACTTATGTAACTTTGAAAGTTGTAATAAAATATTGTGAATGCATATACATATGTAAAGAACTGTTATCCTACTTATAACGAAGTCGATATGCTGGTGAAGTGTTAATTATTTTATAAATATGTAAAGAACTGTTATCCTACTTATAACGAAGTCGATTTGCTGGTGAAGTGTTAATTGTTTTATATGCTCGCCGTCCAACACATACGTAGATATATACTGCTACCGGTGACACTCAAACAGCAAAATGTACCACGTGGAATGTACGATAAAACACAGTTCGCACGGGTAGAACAAATCAGCGAGATGTGAATCTGAAACACACAGTTAGACTCATGGTTATGACGTAACATTCATAATTCAAACGCGTGGGCAGCACGATTTAATAAGCTATGATTCTCCAAACATCTGATATAATAGAGAATGTTCCTATCATAACGACACAGCCTGGAGAGATAGATCGTGTGTGGACTACGCTAGCGTGTAATAGCTCGGTGAACTTGTAGAAGTTTGGACATTTATGTGGACGCGTGGACAGTGAAATGTCTAAACGGTTACAGTTAGGACAGATAACGGAGATTATGGTGGTTTATTTAAATATCTAATTAATAGAAAAAGTAAGTAATAAAGCAGGCAAACAGGTGTTGTAAACAGTTAACTATTACCTGTTTTATTCATCGCGAGGCGCACGTCACCCGGCCGTACGTGGAGCAGGGGTTGTGTTTCATGTTTATATATTTTTAAGCAAAGATCGGTCATATTAAAAAATATATATGCACGTAGATACTAAGTACGGATATAAGACAGCGCGTGCCGAGCTCGTATCAGTAGTCGCCCCAGTCAACAGCACGGTAACTTGATAATGAACTGAATGTTTGAGTTATTCTCGTTATGAGTGGAGAGGCATAATGAACTATACCACGGATTTAACCCGAAATGTGGACAATTTTACATCCAGTAGCCTCACCATGTCTAACACCACCGTGGAGCCAATCTATGATTATCTGTACCCCTGGAGTAACGAAACCAGCCTACATTCAGACTGTGCGGTAAGATCATTTTATCATATTTCAGTAAAATAACGATTTATGCTACTAACCAACCCAGTGACATACATACCCCTCAATGTTTACCAGGGGCTGCATGCGATATCGAGTACATAGTAATGCGTGAATACACAAGGCAGTAGGTGGTTAGTTTGCGGTTAAATGATTTTAAGAATAAGTATTTACGTACAGTGTCAGGAGTATTTGGTGATATATTTTAGTCTGAAGTGTCCGCGTTGAAATTGAGGTACACGTATTTGTAAGTTGTATCCCGTACTTGGTAGAGAAGATGTACAATAATAAAATGTATTTTTTCGACTTTGTGTGGTAAGCTGTAAATTTTGAATCGTGGGCTTTCGAACTTTTTTAAAAACAAAGATCGGTCATTTTGAAAAATAAATATATGCACGTATACTTGATGAGGTACCTTTTTCGATGATACTTAGAACGGATATAAGACAGCGCGTGAATAATGGTAAGCTGTAGATTTTGTATTGTCAGCTGTCCACTTTGTATGGGCAGCTGTAGATTTTGTATTGTCAGTTGTCGACATTGTATGGTCAGCTGTAGATTTTGTGTTGTCAGTTGTTGACTTTGTATGGTAAGCTGTAGATTTTGTATGGTCAGCTGTCCACTTTGTATGGGCAGCTGCAGATTTTGTATTGTCAGTTGTCGACACTGTATGGTAAGCTGTAAATTTTGTATTGTCAGCTGTCAACTTTGTATGATAAGGTGTAGATTTTGTATTATCATTTGTCGACTTAGTATGGCAAGCTGTAGATTTTGTATCGTCAGCTGTCAACTTTGTATGGTCAGCTGTAGATTTTGTATTGTCAGTTGTTGACATTGTATGGTCAGTTGTAGATTTTGTATCGTCAGCTGTCCATTTTTTATGATAAGGTGTAGATTTTGTATTGTCAGTTGTCGACATTGTATGATAAGGTGTAGATTTTGTATTGTCATTTTCGTCATTGTATGGTCAGCTGTAGATTTTGTATCGTCAGCTGTCAACTTTGTATGATAAGGTGTAAGATTTTGTATTGTCATTTGTCGACATTGTATAGTCAGCTGTAAATTTTGTATCGTCAGCTGTCAACTTTGTATGATAAGGTGTAGATTTTGTATTGTCATTTGTCGACTTAGTATGATAAGGTGTAGATTTTGTATTTTAAGTTGTCCACTTTCTATGTTAAGCTGTACATCTTGTTTTGTCAGTTGTCGACTTCTCATGGTAATCTTTGTATTTTATAAGGAAGATTTGTCCTGTTGATATTAGGTAGGGTAGTTTTACACACTCCGTATAGCAATCAAATCTCTGGAGAATGTGCGGATACATATATTCTGTAATATTCATTTTCATTTTCTTTCTGAATTCCTTTCTTTACTTTGCTATTCGTGTGATAATTTGATTTGAGGATACCCCGTACATGTGTCCACAATATGTAAATATGTATTGGAGTTATGTTTCCGTTACGGCAATAGCATGGACAATTATTTCTTGTAAAAATTCATACATAGCGGAACATTTATGCAAAAAAAAAAAAAACCGATGGAAAACAAAACTACACAAAAGAGAATCCACAGTGATCTGAGTGTAAAACATACAATGGATCCTGGCAAAAAGTTGAATCCCAGACTAACGATCAGCAACAATTGACCTCGTTGGGATTCGAGCCTAGCCACGAGGGGAGTTAATTCTATGTATGGGAGTTGTCTAGTGCTTTGCCCGCAGAGAGACAGCGTCTCTTAAAAGAACGGAATTTGGTACAGGTTTTTACCGAGATGTTAAGCTTACTTTCTTGATGTAAAGTGTTAAATCAGTGCACATACAAATATCATAGTCGTTTAAACTTTTGTCCAAAATGTGCTCCGTGCAATGCCCTCCAAGCGGACTATAAGTTACATGTAACACTTTCTGTAACTGGCCATGCTGACCCGAGCTGTATGTGTACAATGTACGAGTTGTGACCCGAGCTACAACATACCTGTACCTCTGCTACGTGTCTGACTCAATGATAATCGTACTTGAGGTTAACATTCTCTGTACACATCGTTTGTCTGACCCGAGCTGTACATATTGTACGCAGTACAATGTGTATTTTCCGTTTTCTGTCTAAACTAAAGAAAACATATTACAAGTTTACAGTTTCTGTAGCTCGTCACTTTAATGAAAAGCTGACTAAAAGTTAGCATGTACCTCTCCATCTGTAGGACCGCACAGAATAATAATGTGCATAAACGTCAGACCATATGATAGATATTACAAGCTGCGTGCTTATTCCTTTTGACAATCAAGAGATAAAAATCGAACAATTTAAAAAAAAATGACGTGATATATATGTATGTTTATGTAGACGGTCTTGAACAGACGCCTTTTATCTGTCAAATATCAAATTCCACGTGATTTTTGTTTTGAAAATGACAACAAACAGGCTACTTCTGTCTGTACAATTTGCTAGGTGAATACTTACTATAATGATTCTCTACGCTCGACAATCGATATACATCTCTCAGACAAAATTACCTTATATGTATACAAAATAATCAACAGTCAGCAATATATCACAGCATTTTTCATTTCAATGATTTGTTAAGGATTTCATTTCCTCGCTACGGCTCTAAGATTATATGGCTGCAAATGAAAGAATCACTAGAAAGTCATTCTACAGCCCCGTCTCGCTGAAAAGTCACTTTATACATTAATGTAGCGCAGTCTCGCTGAAAAGTCACTTTATAGTGGCGTCTCAAGGAAATTCCGCTTTATAGCGCCATCTCACTGAAACATCACTTTATAAGGCCGTCTCACTGAAAAGTCACTTTATAACGCCGTCTTACTGAAAAGTCACTTTATAGCGTCGTCTCTCTGAAAAGTCACTTTATACATTTATGTAGCGCCGTCTCGCTGAACAGTCACTATATAGGGCCGTCTTAATGAAAATCACTTAATAGGGCCGCCTCAGTGAAAAATCACGTTATAGCCCGTCAGACTGAAAAGTACCTATATAACCCGTCTCATTGAAAAGTCACTTTATAGCACCGTCTCACTGAAAAGGCACTTTATAGCCCGTCAGACTGAAAAGTACCTATATAACCCGTCTCATTGAAAAGTCACGTTAATGCACCGTCTCGCTGAACAGTCACTTTATAGCGCCGTCTCATTGAAAAGTCACTTTATAGCGCCGTCTCACTGAAAAGTCACTTTATAGCGCCGTCTCACTGAAAAGTCACTTTATAGTGCTGTCTCATTGAAAAGTCACTTTATAGCGCCGTCTCACTGAAAAGTCACTTTATAGCGCCGTCAGACTGAAAAGTACCTATATAGCCCGTCTCATTGAAAAGTCACGTTATAGCACCGTCTCGCTGAACAGTCACTTTATAGCGCCGTCTCACTGAAAAGTCACTTTCTAGGGCTGTCTCACTGAAAAGTCACTTTATAGCGCCGTCTCGCTGAAATGTCGCTTTATACATTTATGTAGCGCCGTTTCGCTGAAAAGTACCTATATAGGGCCATCTTACTGAAAATCACTTTATATTGCCGTCTCAATGAAATGCCGTCTCACTGAAAGATAACGTTATAGCGTCGTCTAATTGAAAAGTCACTTGAAGGCCGTCTCGCTGAAAAGTCACTTTGTAGTGCCGGTTCATTGAAAAGTAACCTTTTAGCGCCTTCTCACTGAAAAAGTCACTGTAAAGTACCGTCTCATTGAAAAGTCACTTTAAAGCCGTCTCACTGAATAATCACTTTATAGTGCCGTCTTAATTAAAAGTCATTTAATAGCGCCGTCTTACTGAAAAGTCACTTTATAGCGCGATCTCATTTAAAAATCGCTTCAAAGCGCCGTCTCGCTGAAAAAACCCTCCTTTATAGCGCCGTCTCACTGAAAAGTCACTTTATAGCGCCGTCAGACTGAAAAGTACCTATATAGCCCGTCTCATTGAAAAGTCACGTTATAGCACCGTCTCGCTGAACAGTCACTTTATAGCGCCGTCTCACTGAAAGTCACTTTCTAGGGATTTCTCACTGAAAAGTCACTTTATAGCGCCGTCTCGCTGAAATGTCACTTTATACATTAATGTAGCGCAGTCTCGCTGAAAAGTCACTTTATAGTGGCGTCAGACTGAAAAGTACCTATATAGCCCGTCTCATTGAAAAGTCATTCTAAAATCGCTTCATAGCGCCGTCTCGCTGAAAAAACCCACCTTTATAGTGCTGTTTCAATGAAAAGTCACTTTATAAGCCTTTCCCACTGAAAAATCGCGTTATATCTATCTCTGTGTGTGTTCATGCTGTGGTTTATTTTCTGATTGTGAATTTATCTTTTGGCATATGCATCAATTATTGACTCTTGTTGAGTTGAAATACGAAAATATAAAAAACTTTATTTAAAAATAATTACAATTCAGGATTACACCTTTCTTCCAAAACGTCCTCTTTAATATTCGTCATATTCATAAATGTACGTTATTAATCTACCTATGACTTGTAAGAATATCATCCTACTTCAAAAATGAACGTCTCTTTTGAAACATAGACATACACAATGTAAAATGAATTCGATATTCAACTATAGATGCATGTTTTGAATTCCCAAAACATCGTTATCACTGAAAGTCACTTTATATGGCCGTCTCACTGAAAAGTCGCTTTATAGTGCCGTCTCACCGAAAAGTCACTTTATAACGCCGTCACATTGAAAAGTCACGTTATAACGCCGTCTCATTGAAAAGTCACTTTATACCGCGGTCTCACTGAAAAGTCCCTTTATAGGATAGGACTTTGTAGAATTCCAAAAACATCGATATTTTGTGAAACAGTCGAATGTGTTAACACACATGTATTTGTATTGCATGTGGTTATATAGTATGGACCTGAGAAAGCGATATGTCCAGGACAATACAATATCATTTTTAAGGTCCATATAACACATACTTACATATATAAAGGTTCGTAATTGCTATATCAGATAATGCATTGTTATGCTTTTATCATTAAACAAGGCGGA